AAAACCAGAAGACTCTGTGAAAACATAAATGACAGCTACTTCCAAAAGCTGACTCCAGCGCCAGCTCCCGTGGATAGCACTGGAGGGGCCGGGGCAGTCCTGCCAAACAACTCTCATGTCTTCAGAGCGTGTCCAGTGTGGGGAAGGAGGTTTCGCTGAGTTAATAATTACACTGCCTGCAGGCTCTCTGAAGTTGCATCTTTCTGTGCAGCATGGAACCAAATTTTAATGAACTATCGTTAAAGCTGTTAACTACAGAGAAAGAAGGGGGGGCGGGGAATCAAAGGTGCAATCAAAGCATGCACTCTATTATCAATAACTGCAAGTGGCTTCATAAATGTTTTACGTTTGAAATGTTTTCAGTGCAGATCAGCACAGAACCAGCTGTTTAAACGAAAAGTGAAATATAATAACATTTTAATCATTGCATCTCATTATAGAGAAGAATGAATCACTAGGAAAAATGTTTTTAAAAAGCAGCTTTCATGATGGAGGTGGCTAGCCTGACACAGAGCTGGAGACCAAGGAAGCCTAACTCAGAATTAAAAGGCATATTTCTTTAAAAAAATGAGTTGGGATAAGTGGTTTTGTTTTCCTTATAAAAGCTTGGTGGTGGTATGTGCTCGGTGGTATGTGCTCTCTCCTGGGAAGGTTTAATGCTCTCTTCTACCTGAAAGGATTCAGAGCATGAATGCCTGGAATGGTGCACTCGGTGCAGGAGCATCATGGCCATTAGGCGGGAGGTTGGTTTGGACTATAGGCAGGAAAAGTCAAGACCCCTGGGACCAGAAGGAGAGAGAAAACAAGTAGGACCGTGATCCTTTCGCCTCATATTTGGGCATTCAACTTCAAAGTGGTCTTTATGACTCTGTTTTCTTGTCCAAAGGCTGCCGTGCATAATTCTGCATCAGTACACCTCAGAGCCCAAGGCTGGAGCCCATCCATAGCCCTGAAAGAAGGCCAGTGTGTTGTGATAGAGCTTAAGGCAACAGTCGTGGGGTAACTCTCTCTTTACCTGCCAGAGCTGTGCTCATGGGGTTCAGGTGCTCCTCTCCCTGGTCTCCAGTGGGGCTTCGGTGTGAGCTGGATTCCCACCAGCGAAGGCAGGGTGGCCTGGGGTGCAGAAGGCAGAGCTTCAGAAACTTTATAAAATAATGTCAGGTTTGAGAGAGATATAGCTTGTTTAGGTAGTTGCCAAGCAATTTTTGACGTAGTTGCCTACGTTCCTATTTTAGGCACTTGTATCTTATTAACTATTGTTATCAAAAGTTTAAGCGAACAATAGCAAAGAGGAAATCTCTGTGCAAGAGTAGTGAAGGCTCCTGAGAGCAGAAATTGTGTTCCTGCAGGTTTCAAGGAGCATTTGACTACATGGACCTCTGGTTTTATGCAACTGAAAATGAGCGGGGTCAATACCAGAGTCTCTGAATAAGGAAATGCTTTCACTGGCGTAGAGAGATGCCAGCCCTTTCTGCTCTTAAAATAAATCAAACTTTGCGGGGTTACTAGAGTTTTAAAGCCCTCGTACCCTACACGTGGCCAGGTCTTCCCAGCAGCTGTTGCCTATTTCAAGCTGGGAAGCCCTCCTGCTGAGCTCCTCTGGGTCTGCTGACCCCAAAGTCAAGCTGCATTGACTCAACTTGTGCTCTGGAGGTATGAGTCTGGGTGATGTTCCTCCTGCCAGAGGCTCCCAGCTTGCCCCGTGTCGTGGTGCATCAGCAGCCAGGACAGGAGCCAGATGTGCAGCACTCCTGCTCTGTGAGATGGAGGGAGGGTATGAATTATGGTCGTTCTCTGGAGGCACTTCACCTATTGCCAACTGTACATGACCTCTTTGGGTTTATACGGACTGCTGGCAGGAGGTTAGCTCCAAAAATAGCCCATAGTCTGTAAGATTTGGGAACTGCTGGAAGATTAAAAGCAAGACATACCATTTACGTAGAGGACAGCCCTCTTTGCTGGGGCCAGCTCAGCTCAGAAATGCAACAGTACTGCTCTGCAGTGAGTATGTTAGGAACACAGGTACTTATTTCTGCAACAATATATACCTAAAATCAAGGTATATGTCAGGTGCTATGGTAAGTATCATCTTTCAACCCCAGGGACATTGGCTTTTGGGGCAGCGTGAGGCGAATTCTTAGAGCACAGTGTGGGTACAGCTGTTCACCCCAGTAATACAAGATCAGTCACGCTGACAGCTGATGTTAGCCATAACAGAAAGGCAGTTAATGCATATTTCTAAAATCAGCATTGGAAAAAAAAAAAAAAAGTAAAGTATTTGACCATTTCTGGCTTTGGGCCTGATTGCCTTTACGGCTACTGAATAGGAGTAATTCCACCAAATAACCCCCAAACTGGCAGTTGTGAGAGCAGGATCAAACTCTCTGCAAGCAGTTGTTGTAGAGCAGTTGTTGTAGCTTGTATTTATAAAACAGTCTGAGGCGCTGAACCGATCTTCTGGGGGAGCGGAAGGGAACTCTCGGAGGCACTGCGGGTTTTGGAATAGGTTGAAGCATTACGTGGAGCCCATGGTAAAAGAAAACACATCAGTCATCTGCCTGCCCTCTTTCGTTTGTCCTTTTTTCTTAGAGACAGGATGCTATTAGTTGTAAAAGACTGACTTTAGAAGAAACATGATTTAATGTCTTGTTTTAATGGAACGTAAAGCAGTTCTAGAGCCTCTCTGCTATTTAGAAAAAGAATTTAGGAAAAGATTTAAAACTTAATGCCAATTTTCACCAGATTATTATGTGACAGAAGGGATCAGGAGAGATTATTAAATACTTTGTGTGTGCTGAAAATGCTGAGACCTTAAGCACATTAGAGTGCCTGTCAGAAATATTGCAATAGGATGAAAAGGAAAGCTGGGCGAAGGAAATAAAAACATTTTAAATACATCTACGCTGCATCTAAACCTGAAATTACTTGTGATCAAAGGCTATCTGTATTTAGCTGATGATGTGTCTGGGCACCCTTCTCTGATGCCCAGCTCTGCCTGGGGGGGAGGGACGGATCCAGGGAGCGCGGGGTCAGGCACTCCTCCGCTATCTCACCGCACGCTTACAGATTTACAAAAGAGAGCTGTTGGTGTGAAACTGCCTCGTGATGGGGGTGTAACTTTGTGGAAAGCCTGTTCTAGGAGCTGTAATTCTGTTATCTGCTGGTTGCACAATAGTTTGTGTTATGCCACAGCACACTCCCTATTGAAAGTAAAAAGGTACTGTTTGGTGTCGAAGATTTTCAGAAATAACCTTCTGCTTGACCTTTACATTTGTGCCACAATCGTAATTTGGGTTTTTTCTTCCGATTTTGCTTGAGTTTGAGATGAAGGCACAGATAAGCTATGGACAGGGTCATCTCCAAACATCAGTTGTCGCTGGGTTAGGTCCAGCAGAGACGTGCAGGGAATGGTTTTCTGGTGCTGCTGGTAGTTATAGTTCATAAAGCTTTTTTAGTTCTTCTGTCTTAATAAGTGATTTAAGCTGACATCCAAAAGCGTGATGTAGTTGATGTGTGATAATTTGCATTCAGCATGAAAATGGAGCATTTTAAGATAGTCTGTGTAACAAAAGGTGAGCTAGTGTGGTTTGCTTAACAATTACAGGGGATTGTTTTGTGTTGTCCTTTGAAGAGGAGTTGTGTGCTTCTTCACCCACCAGCATGACGTGGTGTCAAGGCAATCTAAATTTTGCATTTCAAATTATCTCTATGTAAGGCTAAACCTGTATCAAATCTCTGTATTTTCAGAACTAATCAAACCAGTTAATGGTTTCAAGGATGGGATAGTTTGACACTTTTATTGTCGTTATTTGGTTTATAAGGCGAGCTTGTTACAGCCCTGTGTTTCTGTAAGCGCTGGGCACCGTGCACACACAGGCATATTATTTAAGAGCAGAACTGGGACTACGTATTAATATTGGAGCTTATACTGCTGAGGCCTAACTTTTAAGGGCAAATTAGGGTTTGCAGACGATGAGAGGTCTCCGGGCCAGCCCCTGCTCCAAGCAGGTCAGCTCCGAGATCAGCCCAGTCACCCAGGGCTTTATGTGCAGAGCTGTATGGTGTCTGCTGGCCAAATCCATCGCCTTGCTCCGTGCTACCAGTGACTTTGCAGGAGCAGCCTCATGCCATTGCTAAACGGGGGGATACCAGCCTAGAGCCCAGCCTTTGTGGGCTCCCTCGTTCATTAGAGCATGCCTAGGACTGCCCTTAATGCTTCATCTCAGCCATCATCTGTGATCCCTCAGGCAGCTAAAAGAGAGTGAGTAAGGTGTAAAGGAGTTTAAAGAGATAGCATAGACAGGTACATGTGTGCAACATGTGCAAATGGTCTAAGTAGAAGCTAGGAGAGGGATTTTGAAGGCTAATTGCTTGCTAAAAGGAGACCAAATCCTGCTGCGGTGCACCAAATCAATTTATAATTTAATAGCATCAAGCTGGTGCGTATAGAGCTGGGACAGAAACACACACAACTAAGCGGTGCCTCACATGAAAGCAACTTTAAGCTCGCAGTTAGTGTGTTTACGAGATGGCTTTGGGGTTGCGTCGGGTTGTATGTTGGTGTTCGCCTGCGGGTTTTTCTAATGGCAGTCCTTAGCTTGAACTGGCCTTGGATGATCAGATTTGTATGTCTCCGATTTCCTCCTACCGCAAGGTAAATGCATCTATTGCGTGCGTTCGATATGTGCTAATCATTTCCCAGAAATTCAATTTTAAGATGAAGTCCGTCTTCTGAGCCAAAGGCACAGAGATGTAGCCTAGATGGAGCAACCCTTTTCAGTATTTCATGTATTCACGGTGCTAAATCTGCAACAGTCTTTCCGCAGTGTATTTTCCATGGGTTTATCATCCCTTTCGTATTTTGTCTGGAGTTTCTGAGGTGTACAGTACTGAAGCAGAGCTGTCACGGGCGTCCCCCGGAGGTGTGTCCTGGGCTGGGTCGTGCAGTGGTGGGCGATGCGGGAACGGGGCTTTCACACCGTCCTTTCCTTTCTCTGCAGTGCAAGTTCCCGGGCCGGTGGAAAACCTGCGGGCTGTGTCTACCTCACCTACCTCGATTCTCGTCTCCTGGGATCCCCCTGCCTATGCAAACGGCCCCGTTCAAGGCTACAGGCTCTTCTGTACGGAGACGGCGACTGGAAGAGAGCAGGTGAGTGGTGACCGGAGCAGCTCTGCTCTCCCTGTGGAAAGGAGATATTAGGTGCAGGCATCTGCAGGTCTTTAGAGCACTGTAAAGGCTCAATGTGAGAGGTTTTACAGATTAATCCGCCGGGTTAGGTAAATGTTGCACAGACTGGTGATAAAAGAGCAAATCAAGCAACATAAATTTTCACTGGAGGTAGAAGAGGCAGCCTATTATATATTAACCATTCCTCAGCTTTACACTGAAATTTCAGAATAACACCAAAGAGCATTTAAAGACCCTTTAGACTCCCCCTTTATATTGTGCAAAACTATCAACACATTAATGGTAGTTTCTACATGCTTTGTAGAATATATATTTTTAGTCACTTCTTGTAAGTTCTTTCAAGTAAGAGGGTAAAATAACACGAATCTAGGCTAGAAACGATGCGTTTTTTCTCCAGACTGACAGATGCTCATAGTAAAAATTGGTGTGGATGCTGTGCACTTAATTGCGCTCCTGACTCTGCCGTGAGCACATGCTTTTGAGTGGCAAACACGCAACCTGGCTTTCTGCAGGTTGCAGACTGCTCAGAGGCTTCTCGCTGGCCATTTAATAACCAGCGTTTGGCAGAAGTGCAGCAGTAGCAGTGGAGATGAGCTCTGTGGGTAGAGTATGGCCTGAATAGGTTTTTAGCTAAGAATAGGGAAGATTTTCTGACCTGATAGCACGTGATCATCGCAGGCATCAGCAGTCGTGTGGCAGGTGCTTCAGTAGCTTTACGGGAACTTTTACACCATCCCCATTTTTTCTGTTCTTGCTTTATTTTGCTTCCTTCTTTTCTCCAAAATTCCCCTTTGACTCTTTGCCTTTATTTTCTTCTTTCCCTGTCACATACCTGTGGAGCGGTAGCAACTGGCTTAACCAAAAAACCCCCCTTTTCTCCTGCACCCTAAGTAACAAAACACAACTCTTAGGCGCTGAATTGCCCTCCATCCCGCAGCCGTGGGCAGGGCTGCGGGCAGTGCCGAGACCTGAGCTGTAACAAGCCACTCTGTTACAAATTGCCTTTTATACCAACTCAAATAAGGATTTAGCTCTACTTCTGCAAGAGTGAAAAGCTCGCCTCTAATCCGCTCGCCCCTTGACGTGGCCGTGGCACTGGCGGTCATGTTTCCCCTTGGTTTATTGTCTCTGTGTGCTAGAACGTGGAGGTGGACGGGCTCTCCTACCGGCTGGAGGGGCTGAAGAAGTTCACCGAGTACACCCTGCGCTTCCTCGCCTACAACCGCTACGGCCCCGGCGTCTCCACCGAGGACGTGACGGTCACCACGCTTTCAGATGGTGAGTGGGGACGGAGGGGCCCCGGGGTGGGCAGGGTTGCGTCTATCGGTTGCAATCGTCAGACTTTTTCTTCTGCCACCGTATTTTGGAAGAGGCAGCAATGAAACGAGGAGGTTATTGAATGTGCAGGACAGAAGTCAGGTTGAGTACCTGCCTGCAGTGGTACCCTCTGAGCTGGCGTTGGTCTCCGGGGTAATTGGTTCGGTTCATTATTCCTACATCTAGTGAGGAGGGTAGTGTACTTTTCTCGTTATTTTTGCTTTACCTTAGGCACAGGTGTATCCTTTCAGCTTTTCAACAGAAGCTATTTTCTTACAGCTGCATTTGAAGAGCCAACTGCCTGGGTTTTCCTTCTGCTTTAAACACAGGGCTAGCAAATGTGCCAGGGCTTCAATCTCTGCTCGTCACAGCGGCTGCACCATCATCCCTCCCCGAGCTCACGCCGTGCTCCAGTGGCTCGCAAGCTCTGGGCGATAAATTGAATTTTATTTTGCATTCGGAAGCACTTAGTTGTGTCTGATATCACAAAACTTACGCACGCCTGACTCCTCTTGAAGTCACTGAGCCTCATCCCCACACCTGGCTAAAACAGGAATAACTTCATTGGAGTCATTTGGGCTACAAAAGTGTAAAAACGGTAAAAATGAAAGAAAAATTCTTTCAGCAGGGTTGATGAGAATTCATAAAGCAGAAGCTAGAGCAGAGACAGGCTTCAGGGATGCGCCAGCTCCTGACCGACCCCCACAGCCAGAGGGGTTTTTTCCATATCAACATTTTATTTAAAAATGACGTAAGAGGTGTCAATGAAGCTTTTAAAGTGAGATTTATCAACAGTTAATTTTCCTTCTGACAAAAATTCGACAACTTCTTTTTCAATTGTGCTAATCAAGGAAGGTATGGGAGTTCGGGTGGCCCTGGCCTGCGTTTGGATCACTAATTTAAGGTTATTTTCATGGGGAAAAAAATGTTTACTTTTACATGAGAGTATCAAATCAGGAAGTAGGCAAGAAATACGTTGCTGTGGGCTTAAACTAGGTGTGTTCAACTTGCTGGGTTTTTCTCACCTCAGAAGTGTGGCAGATAACCTGTGCTAAGGAGCACGTTTGGAAGCGGTGCCTGGCATGCTCCTCAGTCGCATAAAAATGTCTCTGTTGTTCCTTTCCATGCTGTCCATTGATGCTAGGGGAAAAAATTGAATGGAGAACCAGGGTGACTGAGATTTATCCCTTTATATTTACAATTATTTATCTAATTTTATTACAAAGTTGATAACTCTCCCTTGTTATTCTACCCAAAACAGCAGAAAATTTGTATGAGGTTAAGAATGGCAATTTTCTCTCTGTCTGGTAACCCAGTTGCTTCTGAATGCCTCACCTGATCAACTAAAAATACCAATTTTCTGGGCAGCGTTAGGAGAAGCTGCATAGGTCCTGGAGAAAATCAGCGGGGGGGGCGGGTATCGTGCACCGGAGAAGCTCTTGTATTTGCTTAGCCTGTCTACAGCATGGAGCGCTTCTGCGGGGGTCCCTGGGTGGCACGTGGGTCGGTGACGGCCCCTATGGAAGCGGTGCTCCGGTCTCACGTCCGCCTGCTCTGCAGCTACCCTGCGCTACCCTGCGCTCTGCAGGTCCCCCCGGGTCTCCTTGACCTCTGGAGGAGCAGCGGTGGAGAAAGCATGGTCTGAAAGGGCTTCAGCCGGGCGGGGAGGCTGTGGGGGTCAGGAGGAGCAGTGCTTTCATTTTAAAAAGGCTGAGCCAGTCTGCCCTAAGTTTAATTCAGAAATAAATAGGTACCTCGATGCGGGGCACTGGAGGAGAGCTGTTGGGAGCCTCTAAAATAGGCCCCTCGAAGAGCGATGTGGAGGGCTCCGGGGGTGCGGGGAACCCCAGCGCTGCTTTAATCTGCTTTATTCCGGGCTGTATCTTCAGTGGGACTCATCTGCGAGACCCCCGGCTCGGTTGGCACTGTGATTTTACGGTTGACACCTCTGCGATATTTTTTTCAAGTGCTACTTATGTCTACCCAGCAAATTCAGTTTTCCCTTGTAATACAGGCTGGATCTTGGCAGAATAAATTACTTCACACTTATAATTATAAAAACAAAAGGAAAACAAGTGAAAATGAATATTTTGCATAATGTATGTAGATTTAATTCACACTGTGAAGTGTAGAACTGCGGCCCTGTACTCCACTTTGGTTTTAAATGTCACCGTAAGTGAGAAAGGGAAGGATTGTTATTCATGAGTCTGAAAATTAGCCTCTGCAAGTGTTTCAAACGCTTCACCTGTCTGCGAACAAAAATCATTGCTAATGAGAAGGTTTGCATGAGACTATTCCAGAAAATAGGAGTGTGCTTAGGTTCCCTTGTTTAGGGAATCTGGAAAAAGATGGTATTTATTTTTCTCTTTATTTAAGCAAAAGGCTGTTCTGCAAAGAAGTCAGTTGGCTGCAGCCTTCCCAGCCTTTGTCTGTTTTTTTGGAGCAAGTGTAAAAGAAGAGAAAATCCCTTTAGGATACCTTTTCATTCTCCTTATTTTGGGTCTGCCTGAAACCGCTTTGGCCTCTTGCACGAAGAAGAGCAGCCAAAGGGCCGCAGCGAGAGCCTGGCTTTGGCCGAGCCTGGGTGAAGGCGGTGTCGGTCCTAGCTGTCCCGCTGCTGAGAGGGAGAGGAGGGAATGGCGAGAGCAAGCCTGCAGCACAAATTTCTGCAATTTCTTCTTTTATGGTACCACGCAGAGACCTTTCCCAGGGTTAAGGTCCCTTCTGCTAGAAGGATGCACAATAAAACAGCAAGAAATAACTCCTGCATGGGCGAGCTAACAGCCTACGTAAAGGAGAGACAAAGACATCTAATCCGTCCTGTTTTAGAGGTGAGAGAGAAAGGAAGGAGAAAGCCTGTAGTTGCCCATACACACATCTGGGGTTTGGGCAGGTTTTGTCCCTGCCACCACCTTCCCCATGGAGGAGAGCAGCTCCCCAGGCTGCCCTGCTACGTTTTTTGGATTGCAACCATCCTCTAGCTGAAATTGAGATTTAGCAGCCTCATCAGACGGGGACTGCTGCTGTCGGAGGGACAGGAGCTGGCCACCTTTCCTAGCTCCTGCGCGGTGCTTTTCCATACCGAGGAGCACCTTGCTTGTCATGACCAGCTCCCTTTGGTCTTTGCTTCGTGTCATCTCAGTCCATGCAGTCTCTGGCAGTTTATTTTCACATCAGTAGCCAAACGCGGAGGGCAGCCCCTGGGCAAGGAGCTGGGATGCTCTGGAACAGCAGCGACTCTCGCGCTGCTTTTCTGAAAGCTGGTTTGAAACAGAAGTAAACATCAAAAATGAGAGAAAAGTCCTGAAGATTGGTCTGTCTTTTGTTTCCTCTTGTAAAAATGACAGGATCATTTTTAAGTGTGCCTACCTCTTGAGAGTGTGCGTGCATGAGACAGTTATTTTTTCCACACCAATCCTTTGCTCTATAGCATACAATGCGGTACGTAGCTGCACAGAAAAAAAGCCTGTACTATTAGTTCCTGCAGGCAGAAATTTTCCATGAAGCTCTGGGATGTAATCTACAGTCTGAGAAAGGCACCCCAATCAAAGGGGTATAGTGTGGCATCTCCAGCTGCAGGAGCTACAGACCCCAGACAGCATTCACCAGATCAAGGAACATACGGTATCTTTAATGCTTAATTTTCAGTTTAAAATACAGCTCAGATAATATTTGGCCAAGCTGTGTGCCATTTCAGAAATGCTTTGAGCTATCATGCTCATGAATTTATCAAAATGCATTTAATCCCAGCAATTGGCAGACAGTCTTATTTCATGCTTCCTGAGTACTTGATTTAAATATAATTTATATCCATAATTATAATATGAATGCTTTTTTTTTTTAAGTAAAAATTGAAGATTGAAGTTCAGATTGACACAGGAGACAGCCTATGAAGTTTTTCAGATGTCAGCAGCCATTCCTGTGTTTGCACGAGAGCTGAGAGCAGGGCGAGGAGGAGCGGGCTGCGAGGGCACTTACGTGAGCCTGAGCAGAGCCCGTCGCTCGGGGCACAGGCGTGGGTTTACCGGAGGCGGACGGTGTCGTGGCCGCGACCCTGCTGGGGACCGAGTCCCAAATTGTGCCGCCCCACTAGCCCAACCTCTTGGTATAGTGAGTTCACCCCATATTACCCAACCCATTTTTATCCGTTTGGAAGAAGTACTGGGCCGTTTCCC